CCCAGCTTTCCCAAGTGTAGACTACCGTTTAGATGAAAGAGTATGCATCTCCTCTTGTTGAATTTAAAGGAGAGAAGGTTTTATGATGGAAACTAACACTGTCAAAAGTTACTTTGTGGTACACTTGGAACAGTAGTGTGATTCTGTATAAGGAATGTAGGTACAGTATATGAGTGCCTATTGGTGTAAATATTTAAAATACAGTTGGTAGCCCAGTTTCCACTTAAGAGCTTAGAAGAGAGTTTGGAAAACTAGGAAGCTTGTATTTATTATAGATAATTGTAATATTTCATAATGTGGAAATGATCAAAATATCAAAACTGTAGGGAGAAAAAAAACTCTTAAAATGCAGTGTTAAAATACAGTAGCAATTCTAAAAACTGTGTAACTAAATTGGTTTTGTAGTTCTGAAGTTTAGGTTGGTGATTTGGTTACTCTGGTTTTGGCTTCTTTGTTACTGTGTGAATCTTGGCCATGTGGTGAACAGCTCCGTCTTACTCTAGTCGATATCTGAAAGTTGATAGTTAATCCATTTGTAAAGTTAGAATGGTGCTTACCTGCCTTTGAACAACCCTGAGATCTACAGATGAAAAGTGCTCCTTATTTATTGTATAAAAATAGCTGATTTCTCTTCATGTTTTAAACTAAAACCAATCTGTACAACCAGATTTTAAACCCGGTTGCATGTTATGTGAAAAGTTCTGATATAGATCTGCAGATCAGCAGCTTTAGGAAACCATCATGCTGGTCTCAACAAACAAAAAACCAAATATGTACCCGAAACTCTCCATATATGTCAGGGAAATATTTACGTAGAGCCATGTTACTGTAGCCATCATGGTGCTGAGTTTTGAACAAACGACATCTACAGGCAGTTCTCAGGAGCAGTAAACTTGGTATTTTACTTCTAGTGATCCATGTAGAATATGTGATTTGTGTTTTTTTTCTTTAAAGCAAGAGGAAGATGTTTAGGCCATTGACAAGGTCTACCTACTAAAACTAGTTAAGCCAGCTATTGCAATAAATAGTACTAATGTTGTCTTTTAATTTGTCATTCAAAAACTTTGCCTTGTAAGGCTGTTGGCATGCTTCTCAGTATCCTGTTTTTATCCTGTAAATCTATTTTGGTAATTGAGTTTCTCTGCTTGACAAATATTTTCTTAATATACCTGTGTTCCAACCTGTGTAGTAACAGTTTGCAAAACATTTGGCAGGCATCCCAAAATAGTTACGTTTAAAACTTCCTTAGAAAAGAAACGTCATTTCTCTTCCCATGTGATTTACAGAGAGAGAAACACAGCCCTTGCCCCAGGGGATTTACAATAAAAACATTTCAGTTTTGTATCAAAACATAAGTGCTATAGAAATGTGTGCGAGGTCAGCTAAGGGTTTTACTTCCACTTCTGTGTTGTACAGCAAAACTGTAGTTCAAATTTTAGCGTGCTTCCTTTGCCACACTTTAAAATTAACTTCCAGGTCCCTTCCCTAAGAATTATAATCATGGACAGACCAGGGTCATCTGATGTTTCATTTAACAAATAGAAAAATTCCAAGAATACTAAGGAGAACATGGTTCAGAGGAAAGACTCTGTAAGTATCTGGTTATCTTAGATGTGAAAGCCAGCACAAACAGCCAGACACTGAAAGGAGTAGCAGTATTGTTCAGGCAGTAGATGTTTGGAGCAAGGTTATGGTACCAAATTTTGGTCATCCCAAGAAAGTTGTGTATCATGGTTCAGAGTTTTTGGAGCCTTTTATTGAGAGGGTAGAGGAGGCTGGCCCTTGCTCAGTTCTGAAGTTAATACGTGCTGTGCCATCATTTATGGATTCTTTTTCTTAATACATCCTACCATATCAGAAAAAGAAAAGGAGGAAGCCAGGTTTGGCAGTTACTGCTACCTTTTCCTCTCCTTTGATTGTGTTTACTGCCCCATGAGTACATCAGCAGACTTCATGAGATAGTTGAAAGCTGCACCGTGATGCATAGTAAATTTCTAAATGATCTTCAGTCTGGTGGGATGGACAGGATTTCACAGCTGGATATTAAATGTTGCTGGTTATGGCTACTGCATACTATTCTACTTTTCTAAATATACCTAACTGCCTTCAGAGTCCAAGGTCATTTTAGAACTTTCTTCCGAAATGCTCATAAATTCACTGTCGGTTTGTTCAAGGGTTCATCCTGTGCTTAGGATGAAAAAGCTGAGAGAGACTTTTGCCCTTGGTACTTTATCATGCCGGAAGAAATATTTTTGTGTGTGTGTGTTAAATCTGTGGAGGCTTGACCAATTCATGTGCTGTCTGTAGTTGAGGATAATGCTTCTCTTTATCATTGTCTCTCAAAGTTCAAATACCTTCATCATACTCTACTTGCAGGATACCTGCTTTAGAATAGGTATTTGCTTGAAGTGGATGTATTGGAAGTACCTTAAATAGCTTCTAACTGTAAACTAAATTATTGTTCTGATTACTACTTTTAAAATAAAGGCTTTTAAAACTATTTGTCTTTCTCTCTTGTTTTTTTTTTTCAGGGAAAAGTTCACCTTGAATTAAAACTGAATGAACTGATAACAGATAATGGATCTGTGTGCCAGCAACTAGTAGTACAGTAAGAAAATACAGTAATCCTTGAATATTTAGTTGTTAGAACATTAAGTGATTTGTCTCTCTTCATACTGAATGTCTGAACATCCTGGTACCAATAATGTTTTTCTTTTTATATTACTTTCCTTGGAGCCTACCTTGCTGAGGGAATGGGTATATGCTTAGGGAACTTCTGCGTAAGTTTTTCACAACTGCTCATCTCTGTGGCTCCCAAAGCACTCACTTTTATTAGTACTCAGCATGGCTGTCTGGTACTGTTAGCTCAGTGTCTTGTAATTCCAGTTGAATTGGGTCTGGCGAGAAAGCTAGGAATGCCCACTGCAGCCGACGACCAGACCTTGCAGTACTGTTGTTACTGACAGAATTGAATTGTTGCTGGTGGTGTTGGGAACAGTGTGAAACTTTTTCAGTAGTAGTATTTTGGTTTGGTATGCGAAGATCCACTTTTAGTTCTGCTTCAGAATTACTTTCTCATGGTTAACCATCATAAGGAATGTTTATAGAAAAACGAGGTACAGGGGTTGTCATTCTGGAGCAGCATAAGGTTGCCACATTTCAGTAAAATTTCTTCACAACAACTTAAGGAGTTTTCACTACCAAACTTGACTTCGAAGTGTAAAGATATTGCAGCATGTCAAAGAAACTTAAAAATAATTCTGAATGTGTTTCTACTTGTGTAGTGGGTGGCAGCTTTGTTCATTGGGAGTCCTGCTGCTCTGGTTTCTGTACCCCACTTGCAGCACAAGGCAGAATTAGAACAGCTTTTCCCCCATAGACTATTCATCAGCGAAAGCTGGCTGGAGCTTTATGACTTTGTGTTTTATTCCCAACTTAACTTTCTGATAGATGTCACTTTTTATTTTAATTTAATTTTTTATAGATCCATGCACTTTAGTCTAAGTTAAATTTTTTTTTTTTAATTTTTAAAACTTGTTTGGATTTTTCATATGATAAAGAAAAGTTGCTTTAGAAAGTTACTGTTGCAGTTTTGAGTAGGAAGTGGGTTACTCACTGTGCCCTCTCAGAATCTCTTTATGACGGAGATAAATGATCAAAAGGAAGCCAGGTTTCTCTCGTGGTTGCTGTACTCACCCACTCAATGACATGTGGGAGAGGATTGTGCGTTAAACAGTGCAGTATTACTTCAGTACTTTTGTCTCATCTGAGATTATGAAATGCCCTAGAGTTCCTTAAACTAAAAATGTTTAGTAGTATTTTGTCACACATGCTGATAACCTTGAAATAATTGACTTTATAAGTTACGTATTGTACATAAATGTATTTTTGGATGTACATGTAAGAGTATGAGACATAAGAAATCTCTCACTGTCTATAGTAGTATAGAAATGGATGTGAAGGTGTTTTTGAAACCCTTTTGGTCTTAAACCATGAGGAACATACCGAAAATACATGTGAGATTCTTTAATAGAAAATTTAACCTCTTAAAGTCTGCTTATTTTGTAAATTTCTGAGAATAATTAGTAAGTGATATACTTATTGCTATGTTTTGTTAGTCACCAGGCCCTAAGAAGTCATTGCATTAGTAACTCCTTCAACAAAGCTGAAAGATAGGAAGTAGCAGAGCTGTGACTGAGTAAAAAAAAGACAGAGTGGGCATTTATGTGTGTATCTGTCCCTGCCTCTTCTCAGTTTGTCCAAAACTGAAAGTATTGGCCAAAGAAAAAAAATTCATGTTTTACTGCATGTGCAAAGTAATGGTGTGTCAATATAATGAGACAGGGAAGCTTTTAAACTTTCACCAGTTAAATTTTTTGTAGGCTAAGAGAACTCTAGATACTTGTGGTAGCTTCTGTGCATTGGTAGGTTTCTAATGGATTTCCACCATGTATTCGCTGAGAGTCCAGAATTTCTACAAAGCTGAAAAATAGTAGCTATAACTTTCACAACACAACATTAAAGATCATGTTAAGCACACAGACAATAGCAAGTAATTCAAGGGCTGCGATTCTGAGCATTATCTGGAGTCCCCTGTCACGTTTTTGTTGGTGGCTGAACCAAAGTGATAGGATTAGACCTGACTAGGAGATGGATTCATATTATTTTGAGTCTGTAGACATGGTTGTAGAAGTGCTTTTTTTTTTTTCCCCCCTGGTCTTCTAGATGGGTTTTATGATGAGAATTGATTTGAAAACTGAAGGTAATTCCAGTAGGAAGCTTAAAAGTTAAGGATTCGGACAACACAGAGCTGTTGATGATGTTAGCCTCTTACAGCTAATCTGGTAGGGAGGAAGGCGTCATTTCTTATGTTAGTATGTATAGTAAACCCAACTTTTCCAAACAAGAAGTTGTTGGGAAAAGAATACGTGATTTTAGAAAGATGAGTGTTGCTGCATATGACAAAGGGGTGGTCAGTTGTATAATGAAACCAGTACTCATGTTTGTTTCTTTTTGTCCTCTAGCCCCCTGCATGCCCCCTTCTGTTTTTGTTTTTAATTTAGATCCGTATTAGGGCTCTGTTCCCTAACTTTATGTATGGGAAGTAAGCTTAGGGAATGATAAGTATTAATATATCGCAGACTATGTTTGTATCAGTGAAGCTATGGATAACAGGCAAAAAAACTCCTCACTGGAAGTTGCCTTTTGCTGAAGTTGACAAAAAGTGGTCATGTATAAGATATACCACAGCTGACTGACCTGATCTCACTTGATGCTAGGGAAGGGGGACTTGGGAGGAATGGTGGCCAGTTTTCTTAAGGTGGGACTTTCTGAAGGTAGCTAGGGCTTTCAGGTTGTATAAAGATTCTAAAAACATCATACAGAAATACTTCCCCCCCCCCCCCCCGCCCCATGAAGCCCTTACACTTTGTTTGGAATACAAGCATGAAGTTAATCTTCCTTTGGTGAAGGGCTATCTTAGAGACCGCTTGCAGTGGGCTAAATGCTGATTTTACACATAAATTTTGTATTCATTGGAAACTTGCTGTTAAATTTCATGCAGGTACACCCACAGACCGTTTCTGAATTAAAATTTTGTTTTGTCTCCTATACTAGTTGTTTCCTTTTCTAATGTGTGAATGAGGAGGGGAAAAAGGTAATACAATAGATTAACTACTGACTCAATGTGGGCTCTTTTTTTCAAAACCACAGTGGCATGTATAGTAGCACATTTCAAAAATAAATATATGCTTGCAGCTCTTCTTTCTGGGAGTTCGTAAAAAAGTTTGTGTGACGGTTGTTTGCGTATTTGCTGCTGGTGAAACAGATGATACTTGAACAGTTTCTTGCCAAATTAGGCTGTTGGATGGCAGTAGTTTCCTTCTCCATATTTAACATGACTTCAACTCTGAAAGAAAGAGTTTCGTGTATTTACAATGTGAATACTTGAAAGCCCAGCAATGGCTTATTACAGCGAGATTTTTGTCTTTTTTGCACTTACTTTTCTAAATAAGTTATACACAATACTATCTTAAATTGATCTATCAGTTTGTTACTGTCCTGTTTATACTTTATCTGCTCGAATGAAGTCGTTCTAGGGAACATAACAGTTTTTATGAAGTGTACCAAGCCTAATGGCTGCAGTTATTTAACTTCTGTGCTTGGAGGACTTCAGTTGATTTGAATGGTGGAGGTAGAGTCCGTCAGTCATTGAGGGTGTTTATTGTGGGTTGTGTCTTTTTAAGGACTTATTTCCATCTTATGAGCTGAATATATGCCAGTTGTATCTGACAGGCTCCTATTTCCTGTATGAAACTCCTCTTGCAGAACAAACTACTGAGATGTGAAGCAAGAATTAATGTAAACTGAAAGATCTCTTACACTGTACCATAACTGATCAGTAGTTTGAGAAAAGAACAAAAGCCCTTCTGTTAGCTATTGCTTAGACTTTACATGAAGATATAGTAGTTTTAAAAGCCTGTTGTTTTATATTTTAGTTCTTGTCTACTTCTTCAAACTCTATGCGTTTATGCCTTTTGAATGAAAATTGCTTGTGCCAGCCCAGATAGATGAAACCATTTGTCAAATTTGAAATGTTTACCATATGGTGGAAATGTATTTATTATGGTTGTCAGAATAGGAATATATATTTAGTGTTGTTTTCTTTTTTTTTTTGATTGGTCAGAGTGTTTGGGGGTTTTTGTTGGTTTTGGTTGGGGTTTTTTGTTTGTGTTTTTTCTTCTATTGTAGAAGATTGCAGTTCTAGTGCTTTGCCTGATTCTCTGGGGAAGGACGTTATTTCTGTGAGGTTTGCTAGCTGGTAAACTTGTTGAGCTTGCACTTTTCCATTTATGTTGTCTGCTCTAATTGAGCCACTTCAAACATCTTCAAAAATTTTTGAACATGTTTACGGGAGGCTGTTTGTTTAGTAGCTTAAAGCTATCTGCAATAATTCAGTCTCATGTATTCAGTCCGTAGGGAGTGACAATCCAGTTTGGTAGTGCTGAGTTGATTTAATGGCTTCCTACTCTTAATGGCTGCTTGCCCTGCACTGCCTTTGGAGCTTGTGAGATCTTCTACATGACTGGGTTAATTTAGGTTGCCAAAGTGACTGAAAACTGGCTTGAAACCTAAGTAGCTTTCTGTAAGGTTAGTGAACAGAGTCACCATAGGTGATAGGTGCAAGGCAGGAGTGTAAGAGAAGGAGGAGGATCCACCATTTCAGAGCAGTTCAATTGACTTAGCTGTGCTGTCAAATAATGTGTCTAAAGCTGACTCCATGCAGTTACTGGAGAGGTAAGGCATGGTTATGACTGGCTAAGTTAGAGATGGAAGGGGAGGAGGTGAGATAAATTTGGAACAAATTCTGATGGGTCTGAAAAGGAAAGATTTGGGAATATTAGGATTTGATGGTCAGGGGAACTGGGTTACTGTTTGTTTTTTCAGATGTTGAAACAAGGTAGGCTGTCTAAGCTCTGTATACCTTAGTTGCTGGCAACAGAAATGGGACTTGGGCAGGACATGAAAAGGGAATGCTAGAGCTGCCTACACAGAGAGACTGACTGGAGCATGAAATCAGCTTGAAGTGACAGATCTGTATGATGAATCTGGAGATTCTAGTTCTGCTGTAGGGCTGTGTCGTTGTCAGGAAAAAGTTTTTCAACTTGCAGGAAATCATAAACAAGCCTTCCTTTAGTTTGTTACATTGTGGTCAAGCTGTAAGAAGACAGGGGAGGCTGGAACAAGCTGTTCCTGAAACAAAAAGTAGGGCATTGTGATCAGTTTTTGTTGATATGATAATACATTTTCCCACAGGATCATTATGTCAAGTATACAGGTCATTCACACAGCGATCAGGGAAGGAGTGAGAAACTTCATACGTACGGAAAGAAACTTCTTTCTGCAGGACTTCAATCTGTTTGCTAGGGAATTTCAGGAGCTTGGTGAACATGATGCAGGCTGTAGGAAGAGAAATTGTGTTGTTAAAATAGTTCAATACTATCAGATAAGTTTGACTTAATCCATCTGCTATGAATTTCCTATCAGATTCAAATTGAGGCTAATTTACAGGTATGCTCAGCACTCGCACCTGAAACCAAGTATCTCTGGGAGCTACAGAGACAGTATGTTTCGTGCTACAAAATGCCTTATAGTCTGATAGAATCAGTCCTAGCTGCCTCAAATCGGATAACCCAAATGACTGAAAAGCCTAGAAGGTTTAATTTTGTCGCCACTCTGTCACGTGTGTGTTGGAGGAGGAATCAATTAATGCTTATGAAACAACTGGATGTTTCAAGAACCCATTTAAATGGTGGGTTTGAAATCACTGTAGGGTTCATTGTGATTCAAAAATTATTGAAATGCTGAAGGCCATGTGCTTGAAAACTGGAAGAAAAATAACAAATGATTGTGCAGTGGTTCAGCACTAAATGTTCCCTGAACTAGCTAAGACAAAGGGACTTTTTTTGGGGAAAATACCATCTGGTTTATAATTGTACATACTCTAAAGAGGGTGGAGTTTTGAGGCAGCACAGGAGTGTTAGTGTCTGTTGTTTCCCCACTTGTGTTTGTTTGCAGCTCTTGTTATTCTTTTAACACTGTTTTTCTACAGTACAGAAAGCATTTCCTTAACAAAGTGTGTAGCTACCGTTGCTGCTATTGCTTTAACTTGATCTGCACAACTTAATATTTCACGTTACAGTATTAGAACATTTACTTGATTATTTCTATGAACTTAGAGCAGAACAGTCTCTTTTCTTCCTAAGTTATATAGGTTTTGGATTTTATTCAGACTGACTAATTATGGCAACCAAAACTTACTTGCATTAATTTAGTCAAATTCCTGCAGTACGTTATTTAAAAATAGATTATTTTAAAAAGAGAGAACAGGAATATGACATTGAGGTCTCATTTATGTCTGTCTTGTTTATGAAATTCTGTAATCTGCTGAATGTTTCTGGACTTCATAAATACTACAGTGTGCATGGCTACATTACAGCATCATTTTGCTAGAACGTCTGGTTTCTGCTGTAAATTTATGAACTGTTTTGCTTTACTTTTGTTGTTCCATCTGTTTTTAGTTAATACTCATATGTGGGCAACATCTGAATGTTAGTCAGCTTGCTGACCCAGCTCTGTTTCTAGTAGCGTTGCTGCTGTGGTGATTCAAAAAGATTGCAAGTCTTCAGAAAAGGTCCAGAAAATGTTTCTGTCCCCATGAGCATTAGTTTCTAACCATCCCATCCCTTTTGAGTCGGGAGTGGTGAACAGTTTAACAGAACCTGTTTAACACCAGCTTACAACTTACTGTATGAATTATGGAAGAAAACAGTATTTTTAAAAGGGCCGTTTAACCCAGATCATGCAGTATGGTGAAAAGAGTTCGAAAATAAACTTTAAACACTATTTCAAAGGTAAACTGATTTTTCTCTTTGTGGCTGAATAGTATGGATGGAACCTAGACATGCTAGGACTGTATACAATAGGTTTTGGATGTTTAATTTTAAATAACATTTCAGGATATGACTTGGATTTCTCATCTTACTCAACTCAGAATGTAGTTTAGCCAAAACAAAATATTTGAATCCATTTTAATGCCTTCCAAATGTAGTTGCTGCCATGTGGATGAGGCCAAATAGCTTTTTGTGGGCCTTGAGAAATGAAATTTAACAGTTAATGAAGTCTGCAGTTTCCCCTAACATAGCAGTTCATTTTACTTAGGATTTTGTCATGCATGTATGATACTGGAATGTCTTTTATTGAAGCAATTCCAAGAATTTTGTTCTCACAAAGCCCCCCAAGTAATGACTGCACACTTGAGTACTACCTTGTATTACCATCCAGAGATCTGTAGTTGTGATCTGCTTCATGCACATATATTATGTTGGATCAGCATATATATCAGTATGTAATACAGCAGGACTTTAAAAAAATCTTTTAAAAAAGAAATATTTGTTTGGGTGGGTTTTTTTGAGCCAAAGATACTGCTTCACTGATCTATTGATTGCCTTTTCATTGTAGCATAAAGGAGTGCCATGGGTTGCCTCTTATTAATGGACAGAATTGTGACCCTTATGCAACAGTCTCTCTTGTCGGGCCTTCCAGGTAACATTTTAGTATAAAATTAATGAATCTAAAATGCTGTGATCTTAAATTGGAAAAGAAAGGTTCTAAGCAAAATCTTTAAAATATAGAAAATTCTTAAAATACTTTCTGCATACATCACATTGTCCATTGTTGCTGGACTGTCCTTTTCCCTACCATACTCTGAAGATTGTGAAGGTGTTTGATCTGTCTGAATGGCTTGCACTAGTCAAGAATCACTTGTCACTCCTTTCTTTCTTCTCGGGTTTTGTACTGGACTCTTGATACCTGCACTGTACTTCCTTTTAATTTTCATCAAATTCCTGTGTGGGATGATACAGTTAATTGCTCACTTGCCTTCCTCTGTTCCCTGTTTTTCTTAATGTGTGTGTTTCTTTCCAGCAAATGTTTAGCATTTGGGAGGAAGCATGAGAGTGGAGGTTCTGGTGAGGCCTTTCTAATGCCAGCACATTCAGGATGCTACATTCAAAGTCCCTACAGTTTAAATGTCTCCTTTTTTTTTTTGGATTTATAATCCTGAATAACTGTTGGGGTTTTTCATTTAAGAAAAATCCCATATCCCACACATTCACTATCTGCAAGTCCCTGCTCAATAGCTTCTAAAGTAACCTAGGTTTCAGTTGTTTCTTTTTTGCAACATGAAACCTAAGTCCATCTAGTTTCTCTGGTACTGAAGAATTGCCACTGTGAGCATAGTAACAGAATGTCTTGTAGCAAACTTACATGTGTTAAAGACTTTGGAAGTATTGTCCCCAAGTAAGCTCTGAGTGAACGGGGCATTCTTCCCTCCTTGGTAATGCCTCATCACAGGGGTTTTTTTAGGTTTGGTTTGGGGGTTTTTTTGGTGGGTGGTTTTTTTTGTGGTTGTTTTGTTTTGGTTGGTTGGGTTTTGGGTTTTTTTATTTATTTTATTTTTAGAGAACTAGGGAGATTTGACCATTACAGCTAGGAGGCATGGTGTTGATTGCCAAAGAAGGTAAATTGACATATATTACCTGTTTGAATCCTGAGATACAGATGGAACTGGGTGAATGTTGGTCCCACAAAATATTTACCTTGTTGGTATGGGAATATATGTGCAAATCTAACAGAAGTTCCTGGTTAAGATTTTCCAATCTCATGCACGTGTGACTCATGTACCATGACTGGAATATTTATACGGCCAGTGCCTGAAAACAGTTAGTTGACGTCTAGGACAATTTTTCTTCTCCTTTGTCTGTTTTTCCCTCACATTTTATATTTGTTTCTTTTAGAAAGCATTTTTATACTGTCATATCCCTTTACTAACTAAAAAAGACTGTATTCTTTTATAAAATGTGTGAAATTAAAAAAAAAGGTTACCTATGTAAAGCACAAGGGAGTGGGGAGCAATTGTTTGACCCTATACTGTTTAGCATCTAGCATTAGCAGCACTCCTTCCAAAGAAAACATTCAGTGGCTTGGTGTAAGCCTCTGTTTGTAAAGAAGTACAACAAAGAAGAGCAACAAAGCTGGTGAAGGGCCTGGAGAGCAAGTCTTATGAGGAGCAGCTGAGCGAGCTGGGATTGTTTAGTCTGGAGAAAAGGAGGCTGAGGGGAGACCTTACTGCCTTCTACAACTACCTGAGAGGAGATTGTAGCGAGGTGGGGATCGGCCTCTCCTCTCTGGTAACTAGCGATAGGACAAGAGGAAACGGCCTCAAGTTGTGCCAGGGGAGGTTCAGGTTGGATATTAGGAAGAACTTCTTCACTGTGAGAGTTATTAGGCATTGGAACAGGCTCCCCAGGGAGGTGGTGGAGTCACCATCCCTGGAGGTGTTCAAAAAACGTTTAGATGTGGCACTTTGATACATGGTTTAGTGGGCATGGTGGCGTTGGGTAGAAGGTTGGACTTGATGATCCTTGAGGTCTCTTCCAACCATAACAATTCTGTGATTCTAAGTAGTAGGTATTTCCCCACAAAAGAGAGCAGGGGAAAAACAGAAATTGGCAGTCAAACAAGATCAGGAAAACAGTGCTCGTAGCCTACAAGCAGTGGTAAAGAAATGGTCTGCAGACTTAAGTTTGAAGTGCTTTAGAAATCATTCATATATTTTACTTGATATGTGTAATTTATACTCATTTGTGAAATGATTAGAAACTTTGAGCTGGACAGATGCACGATTGACTATATACAGCATTTGAAATTTTAACTTTTCAAACTATATTCTGAAGATAAACTCATTTTATTTTAAGATTTTCTTCATTGATCAAAGTGATCTCTAAAATGACAAAAAATGTTTTAACTTAAATGCATGGGTCCTTCTTGACAATAGAATGTCTTTATAATTGTGTGTTTAAGTTGTCTATGGTAAAAATTTTACCACATTGGAACAGGAATGACCAAAAGAAGACCAAAGTAAAGAAGAAAACAAGCAATCCGCAGTTTAACGAAACATTTTATTTTGAGGTAATTTTTTGTGTGGTATTCTGCCTGTTTGTCTGTTTTATGCAACCCTTCAAATATTTTTAAGCAAGCTGCATAGCAGTACCTAATGCAGAAAGCTCTGTTCAAGAAAATTGAAGAGCTTTTACTAACATCTCAAATGATATGATGTAAGTGAATGCCATACTTAAATTTCTGGGGGCTGCCAGACAATAGCATTCCCCTTCAATTGCTGTGTGGAAAATGATTTCCTCCCAAGCACATATGTGAAGGTAATTCATTATCTTGAATCACTTTTTATAGCGTCTCGTGCCATCAGGAGTTTTGAGAGAACTTTAACCTATCCTATGGAATTTGGTTTAAGTATTTTCAAGAACATTTAACTAACACCCCCCACCCGCCCCAACTTATTTCTTTAATAAAATAATGTAGTGATTATACCCAATAAAGACTAATTTTATTTTAAAAAATACTAACTTTTTTTATTTAGGATTTTATTTCAGTTCTACATGGGTTACCCTACAATAACCAAATTAGGAGTTTGAGTTTTCATCTGATTTGTCTCTAATAAAAACTACATTGGCACGTAAGCATACTGTACTGTTTAGCTGAGAGTTGAAAGTAGTACAACTATTAGACGTGCCTCAAATGTGTTACAATTTCCTATGTTTATATAGATCCTGGTCCTGCTGTTGGGACTGCGGTGGGAAATTGTTCCATGCTTACATATAGAGCGTCAGTGTATGGCATGTGTTTCAGTTGACTTGCTCAAGATACTGAGTGTAATTTCTTAGGCAGTAAGATGCTAGGATAAAAGTGTAATACAAACCACTCGGGTAACTTTATGGCTTATGATCTACTGGAATTAAACTGAGAATGCAATCAGTCAAGAAATGAGGAAAATTAAAATAAGAGGTTACAATTGTGATTAGAGTGGACTTCTTATTTGTTCTTTCCTTAACCATCTCAGAACTAACTTTCATGCTTTCTTGAGGCTCATGCTGAAACCAAAGAAATTCTTGCCAGTCTTATGTCATGCTTCCTTCTTGTTTTTTCTAATAGAACTGTGCTATAATTACTTTAGATACCAGCTAGCCCTCATTGGGCTCCACCATGAGCCCTTGACCCATTTTTTACCTGCTTTCTGTCAAAAGGCAGTTTGTTTGGTGAACTGAACTATTTAATTTTTAAAAGGAGCAGTAACTATTTACCAGTGTTAAAGAGGCAGGGTTTTCTTTGGTTTTTGACATCCGTAATAGAAGAGTAAAAAGTGTGTTAATAGGAGGAATTTACTTGCAGGTAACCAGGTCCAGTAGTTACACCAAAAAGTCCCAGTTTCAGGTAGAAGAAGAAGATATTGAGAAACTAGAAGTCAGGTAAGTTATGTAGTTTAGAAAGTGGTTTATTTTATCATTAATAAATCATAGTATTTTATTATCAAGACAATAAAGAAATGTTATGTTTTAGTGTAACTGCAGAGAATTACTGATCAGACTTGTAGAAAAGATCCTTCTGACATATAAAATTACTCAGATTTTGTTAGTGTGTTTCTTACTGAAGATGAGGTTTTTTGTTTTTAAGTAAATAGTGGCAGAGTATATCTAGCAGCCGAAACTTATTTCCTGTGGCTAGAGAGGCATGAGGATCTCCTGTCAATAGATATTAGTTTGGGTGGAATATTAATAAAAAAACTTGTACTGAAGGAAAACAGCATACATGATGCTAGTCTATGGTTTCAAATGTAGTTGGCTGTTTTAATAAAAATAGAGGGAAAAGCCTCTTTTATAGGATTCTTATAATTTTGCTTAGTTTCTTGGAGGAATATTTGTGTTGCATCTTTCCCTTGCAAATGCAAGGAATACTTCAAAGTATGTTCCCCTTTTCTGCTCCTTTACCCTTAGAGCAGGTCTGTCTATTTTTCCTATGTAGTTAAAACAGTTGAGAACCCTTGTGCTCAGTTTCTTTTTTTTATTGTGCTCATGCACATATATGCATCAAATCTACTGAATGACAAAAGATCTTCAAGGCTAGCATATGTTTCCTAACAGGCATCAGAAGAAGAATTTAGTGGTTAGTTTTAATACCCATTATAGAACTACCTTGGTATGTGTGTGTTTAATTATTAGCTTCATGAATATCTTAATTGAAATTGTGTATTTCATTATAGATGCAAATATATTTAGAAAAATAGTCATGCCCCAACAAATCTAGTATTAATCTTTTTTGTTCTTCTTAACAACTGCTGTCTGTCAGAAATGTCAGAGAGGTAAGAAGTAATAGAAAAAACCCAAGGTGCATGTCTGGAGTCTGTGATTCCTTTGGAGGTTTTGTAAGCATATAAGCGGCTGTTTGGAAAAACAAGCGCATGTGTTGGTGTGGCATTGCAGTGTGCCAAATTCTAGCAGGTAGATAGGGATATGTAAATATATTGGTTAAAAGGTTCACTTGAATTACCTGAGAAGAAACGTGCACAGTTTTGGGGGTGGAGACTGCTCAGAATACATGTATGTTGCCAATATCACTTTTATTTACTGATGCAAGGTCTGTGAGTGTAACTCTCACTGTTTGGTTCTTTATCTGTTCTTTGTGGATTAATAAGCCACTCGTTTGTTTCTCTTGATTTAATTAGAATGGAGTGAGATTTCTAACACTTTCTGCCTGCATGCATGTGGATTAGTGCTGTAAGGCAGTTATTGTTAACTTGAAGATTTTTTTTCTTTCTCTCTGGGAGAAAAAAAAATTAAGCAATGTTCTTATTTTCAGGGTTGACCTATGGAATAATGGAAACTTGGTACAAGATGTCTTTCTAGGAGAAATCAAAGTTCCTGTGAAGGTGTTAAGAAATGATTCCTTTCAAGCATGGTGAGAAATTTTGGCTCAGAAGTGAATTTGCTTGTGTCTTGCGAAGGATGTTTTATTCTAACTATCCATTAAAATACGTTTTTGTGTTCTAGTCTAGGGTAAAATGTCTTTCTACAGAGTTTCCCCGCTCAATAAATTAACCTTGCCAGAGGGTACGTTTAGCTCTTCTCTTCCCCCAGTCTGCCTACTCCCGCAGAATAGTTTATATGTTTGAGGGGAAAGTGCAGAGAGTGAAGAAAGGGAAGACTGAGCGTAACTATCTTTCAGTCAACTTGCTAGATTTTAGTGATCTGTATATGCTTTTCAGCCTAACCAGCAAACCTGGAACTTCTCAGAATTGCATCACTTGCAATGAAATTACTAAGACAGACTTCCAGAATGACTGATGAAGAGTTTACTTTAAAATAATCATTAAGTATGGCTTGCCCTTTTTTTTTTTTTCCTTCCTTGGGGAGATTCAGAAAGTATCTTCTGGAACCAATCCAATGTCATTTTAGGGGAGCAGCAACCTCTCCTCTGAAGTTCTTGCAAGCAGGAGCCAATCTCTAGCCCCTTTACTGTCCCAAATGCTTAGCGGCAGGAAGTGATGAGTACAACAGATTCAAATGCCTCAAAGTGCGTAGAGTATTCTGCTTTTAGTGAACCTTTTGATACAGAGAAAAGAGTGGAGGAAGCCCTCTCATATCCATGTAGAAAACACATAGGGAGGAAGTGGGTAAATTGGAACTAAATGGACCACAGGTCTTGGCCAGGAACTGTTAGGGCTCTGCTCCACGTACCCACCTCAGTCTCCAAGTGTCTTGGATGTGTCAAAGTTGAACTCTGATTCTTTGTCTTTAGTGTTTGAATGTGATCCTAAACATGTTTGTCGGTATTTTCTGGTTTTTACATGGTGTATTGCAGACACAGGCTTGTTCTGCCACTACTCTGAACTGATCAAAAGCTGTATGACCATATTAACATAATTACATGCCTCCATTAACAACCTGCTAAGAGAAAGGTTATATTAGCATGGCCTCATTACCAGTGTATTGTGTTCATACAGCTTTTTGAATTGCACTGCCTCCGCTCCGGTTCATTTGAAGCATGTATGGAGAGATTTGTGTCTGCTATTATACTTTGTAGGCATACCTTGTATTGGACATCCTCATAGCCAATTATGATCTGCTTATCACAAACAAAATATCTAATTTTTAATACTATTACTAATTGACATAAAATGTTTTTGAATACAGCTGAAGTACTGCAGATAAATCAGTATCACAAGTACTAAATATTGGGAAAATAAGCCTAAGAGTCCTGGTGTCAAGTAGAGGTTCTCCTTGAAAATCAGTTTTACTTTATATTAGCATGCCTTCATAGGCAATGCATCAGATGGTAAAAAAACCAAGTCTGATCTCCTGATTGTAGAAGTACAAATATAAATGATTGTAAAAGAATATCTGAAGATATGATTTCCGTTTGTTGGGTTGAATGTTTTAACTATACTGTGACACTGCTTAAAAGCTGTTAAAATTTTTTAGGACTGCACCTCCTGTTGGAATACAGTTGAACTACAGCAAAAGCCAATGAAGTCTTATTAAATATATTTTGTATTGAGAGTAGGAAAAAAGCACATTTTTTTCCTTTAATCTTGTTTCTCAGGAATGCAGCCTATTAATATTATGTATTTTTACTGGTTTCAGACTAGACCATTTAAATTCTTGACACTAGCTGTTCCATCTGCAATGTCTAACACCCTAAATATAAACTAGATGTAAAATGAGAAGGTCCAACATAATTTCTGACTATTCCTGCTATTCGAGTTGCGCTATGAGAAGTATTTCAGAGTTTCACTGTTCAGAAAGATATGAGAAAATAAATATGTTTCATTATGTGCTAAAGGTGTGTCAAATGCTGCTGCTTTTTTTTTTTCTGTTGTGTGTCAGGTTTTCTTTATCTGAGTTTTATTGCCAGTTTTCAGACTTGGTTTACGTATCCTGAAATAATTAAATGTGATATTTTGCTTTATTATAGAATTAGTCAAAATAATGAAATGTGCATCAAATATTTTAGAATTGCCCTGTTGCTTTCAGGTACTTGCTTCAACCAAGAGAAAATGGAAACAAGGCTTCTAAAACTGATGATTTGGGGTCACTGAGATTAAATATCTGTTATACTGAAGATTGTGTGCTTCCATCTGAATATTACACTTCTCTAAGAAACTTGCTGCTAAAATCAGCAGATGTTCAGGTACTTTTGTTGAAAATTCCTTTGAAAACTTAAAATTAGTTATGCAATTCTATGTGAGACAATGTGAATTATGCATATCTAGAGAATTTTTTGTTCCTTTGCATAGATTACTTCTGTCACAACCAGAGGAGCAGCTTGTAGAGCATTTACTTCTGCTCCAAACTACTGAGATTTTCTTCTTATCTTAGAAGAACGCACAGAGATAGTGAAATAACCTGTGCTGTGTGACTGGAAGAGAGAAAATACTTTCTTGTTGTCATTACTCTTTTCAGCATCGTGTTTTCCCACTGGCTGCTATTGGCCCCCTGGATTTAGTGGTTTTCTGGGGATGTTGATCCATTATTGGCACTGAAGGGGCAGATAATCACCTTTACCAAAAATGGTCTGCTTCAGAATCTATTTCTAATTCCACTTCTTCTGAATTGCTTCTGTCTTCCCTAGTATGTTAATCAGCATGACTGGATTTCTCACGTGGATATGATGACAAAGAGGGAAATGTGGTAGATGGTTAGCATAACACAGAGAGGAATCAAATTTTAGTAACCAGGCTTTATATTCCTAGGTCTTTTCTAGCCTTTCTTCCCTTCAGTGTTGATGAAGTATTAGCAGAGGAGAAGAAAGGTAAAGAGGAAGCAGATTGTGACTAAAATTTTTGCTAGCCCATGTTCAAATAGTACTTCACTGGAATTCAGGAAGAGCTGAGTATGTAGCTAGTGGCAGTCAGCAGCTGTCTATTTTACTTAAATGAAGTAACTTGATCAGTTTTTGTATTGAAATTCCCAAATGTAGATTGACAACAGACACTTTAGCAGTGTGAGAACTGTATTTTAATGTGCTCTGAGTATAGTTTTATAAGTCCTATAAAGATATAGGACATTACAGTAAAGCAATTACGTACTGACTTTTACTTGGATTTGTGACAAAGCCATACTCTGACCCTTTAGGGAAAATGAGAAGGGTTAAGTAGATGCTGAATTTCATTCTTAAATGTCAAGTATAGAGTAGATAATACCAATTTTCAATTAAGTATTTCTGTAGAATGGGAGCTTTAAATTGCCATGTTATACAGCAAATGTTGAAACGTTCTGTTAAGAAACTATGTATATAGTCTTGTCAGATTTGATCTCTACTTTGCCAAATACATGAAGAACACTTCACTGATGATTTCATATTCTGCTTTCTTACAGCCGATTTCTGCATCTGCTGCCTACATACTGAGTGAAGTCTGTAGAGACAAGTATGATGCTGTTCTGCCTCTTGTACGATTGTTGCTACACCACCATAAGCTAGTTCCATTTGTTGCTGCAGTGGCAGAACTAGATCTGAAAGACACCCAGTATGTATTTCATGTTTAGTGATGTCATGCCTTTTAAAATTATTTTTAAGAGTTTCAAAGGGCTTCATGATACAACATTGATAAGTAAGCATGTTAAATGTCTTTCTCTCATTACGTAAAACTGATTACATACATAAATCTTTTAATACTAGTTTATAAAAACATTCATTAAAATCATATTGAAGCCAGGAGTCAGAGTTAATGGTTGTGTGCTAATTCGCAAAATTTGCTAAAATTTTCTTGAGCTAGTATACAGCTAAACATAAGCTAGCAGTCTAGAGTTGTGTCTAAAAGCACATAGTTTTTATTTTAAATAGTCATAATTTGGCTGCTCTTCAAATTTTGCTGGTCATTAGATTGGTACTTAACATTTTTTTAAATTGCTGAGAGTCTTACCTTGTTTTCTCTAGTATGTGACTTAAATGAGGAATAGTGTTGTTCTGCAAAGATGCCATGTAAGTAAGTACGTGTCCTCCTGCATGCCTTGAAAGTAGCAAGCACAGGAGTTTTTCCAAGTAGCAGTATATGGCCTGTGAATGTGCAGCTGTGTGGTTAGAAGGGAAATGAAGTAGGCCTGAGTAGTGGCCACTGAGGTGCCAAGTCATGTCCTGTGGAGATGCAGAAGGGATTTTGTCACCACAGGATGGTTCATGTCAAAGCTGACTTGCTCCAGATTTAAATAAGGTGAGACAATTTAACTGTGTAGAAAGACATGAATCATGGAAAATAATTTGCTAAACTGCATTTTAGTAGACACATTCCTTTCCATTATAATTGAACTGTACCAAAGAAAGATTAAAATAAATCTGTCAGATTAGAAAGATTTACTTTGCACAGCTGGCTGTCAGTTTTCTTCAACAGCTATAATGAATAAAAAGCATAAACCTAGATTAAATATGTTTTGGTTAAAGTGCCTGAGTTTGTCAGTGTAGTGTAGCAGTAAGCTATTCGTTGTAGCTCTAAGATTTTTTTTGTTCCACCAGGACTTCTGGAGGAAGAATTGTATATTGGTGAAGTACAAGTCTTCATTATTTTGGAATTTTCTACAATTGTTCTTTCTCACATTCAGCACTGGATTATAACTTTCTTTGTCTAAAATTTCTTAGGCTTCTCCTTATGGTTTTGTTTATGTTCCTGGTTTTAATATGCTTGTGTATTCTCTGTCTGTTCCTGAGTGCCATTGCAAACTGAGTATCTGGGTTCTGGAATTCCTGACTGAAGTATATGAAAAAATGTTTTCAAAAAATTAATTGCCTAATAGCAACATGAAGTATTAATTGGATTTTGTTACTGAGCCTCTTATTTTTTCCCCTGTTCAAATAAATTATTTTCTTACAGAGAAGCAAACACAGTCTTCAGAGGCAACTCATTAGCAACTCGGTGTGTAGATGAAATGATGAAAATAGTGGGGAAGCACTACCTAAAGGTTACTTTGAAACCTGTTATTGATGAGGTAGGTTATCCTACTGAAACTTTTTTCAGGACACTTAGTCCCCTGGGATATCATGTCTCTTTCATAGGCAATCTTACAGCTCCCTGTGTGGTAGTAATCACTCAGACGAAAGTTAAATTGAGCAATAGTTGGTTAAGTTTAGTGGGAGGAGCTGCTTTTTGTTATTTTTGTTCCAGATGATTGGAAATAAAGTTGATGACAGTTGCTCCAGCCTATAACACCTTGCAGAATTTACCCATATGATCCTTTATGTAATTGATCCACGTAAAAGGGCACGCACGAAAGTGTGGATGATTATTGCATGATGTTATGGACAGTTAGAACCTATTTAGAGTTTTAACCCTAAATCTAGGACAGATCTGGTTTTAACTAGGTGCGTTTCCATGCTTTCTGTCTGAAAAATTGGACTCATACAGGGTTTTGTTTGTTTATTTCAGATATGTGAATCTCCTAAACCCTGTGAAATAGATCCCATCAAATTAAGAGAAGGGGATAATGTAGAAATTAATATGGTGAGTTTCCTAATCTGTTTTTCCTAATAGAAACTTTCTCAAAATCTGATAGAAAAACATTTTAAAAAGCAGCTCTGTGTAATGGAAAATTAGTAACTTACTATAGCAGTATAATTCTCTGATTCCAGTGTAAACAAAGGAAAAGTTGTATTTTCTTATCCTTGTTTATGCCAAGAGCAAAGGAAAAGTCCAATGGAAAATGGGACAAGGAGGAGAAACTAAACAGAGGATCACAGTCTTCATTACTGATTTGTTGGGTGTTGTGATTCCTGATGTTCTGTACTCAGCATCTAGATGATGAAGTATATAATTAGGACTGTTTTAACACTTTTCACTGAAGTTTTGCTTGCCGCTTGACTGTTACTAGAGGATGATATTTAAAGCAAGAGTTGCTGCAACAAACTAGATCAGTATTCACTAGGTATGCATGTGAAGTTCTCCTTCCTTGTAGCATGTTGTTGTCAAATTACAAAAACGGATTTTGATAGATAGTTCTATATTGCCAGACACTGCTTAGATACTTTAATGTGAGTATCATTAAACTATCTTTTAACACTAGTAATCCCATACAAATATTATGAGGCTTTTTAAATATCATTGTACTAAAATACATAAGTGAATAGTCAGGCAGTGTTTTGAAAAAAGGAATTGTAGTGTTTGTTTTCTTCCTGAACACAAACATTAGAAATGCAAATGTTAATGGTCTGAAAAAATACCTTCTTTCATAATTGCAGGAAAATCTACGCTATTATGTAGACAAAGTATTCCGTGAAATTGTGCGGTCAAGTATAAGTTGTCCTACCCTAATGTGTGATGTTTTTTATTCTTTGAGGCATCTGGCTGCCGAAAGATTTCCAAGTAAGTGTTCTCTAAAAACTTTTGAAAACAGTGTTCGGAGTGAAATACTTAACTTCGCAGTTACCTTGTGGGGATTGTTAAAATTCTTGCCTTGCCCAAAGCTGTGCCCTGAACTTCTTACCTTGACAATCAGGCACTTGTTTTTCTGTGAGTCTAAGTTATAGTAAAGCCTTGTGGTCTATCAGCAAGAATTGTGTATTTTCTGTTACAAAAATGTAGCGAGTCAGAAACACTGCAAGACAGCAGTGAATAAGAAGTCACCAACAAAAGTATGAGATAATAAAAGAAAAGCACAAGTAATACAGGACGTGATTTAGTTGAAAGATACATAAAATTTGGAAGAGCTGATCGGTTTATTGGCTCTGAAGAGGAAAGATGTAATCTTGAAAATAAATTTGGTATTTACATCGTAACTACATGAGCTTGCAACTATGTTAACTATGACTAGCACATTCGTAACTTATATGAAGTTAGCTTTAGGACTGCCATAGCTTTACTACTTAAGGGTAGTTTTGAGGAGGGTGAATAATATAAAATATTTAATGCATTTGTAATGTGACAAGTATTAGAACAGTTTTGTTCTTTCAGAATGGTTTTAAAATAGAAATAATGTGGTGGGTCTGAAATACTCTTTTATACTTCAGTCAATTAAAATCTGTCATATAATAAACTACAAATGAAGAATATACTTCTCAATGTGGAGCCTTTCTCATGTTTGTCACTGGATCTGATGCCATAAATTCCTCTAGTTAAGACAGTCCTTTCAGAATAGCTAACTTCCCAGACAGATCAGATTGAAGTGGTCATTACAGTAGGAATGTGATCCCACTATATTTCCCTGTATAAAGGTGTAAATATACCCCAAATACTGAATGAGAAAATCCTCATTTACAGCCTCAAGATTACATAACACCATAGGTTTTTGATGCAACTCAGAATTGGAGTTAAAGTTGTTCATATGTGTTGACTGCATTTGTTGTGCAGCATTAATGTATTTGAGTTGATCAGTGATTAGCTTTATGGGTGGATAAACCTGATAGCCCTAGTGTTTAAAGGCAATTGCTACAGTGTTTTCTCTTTTGGTTCAACACACATACAGCTGTGTGTAATCAACACTGTGCATGTAAATGCTTGCAATAATCTCATCATTCCTAGTAGTGGAGCTGATGAGCCAGTTTTATGAGAGCAGAACTTCTTTTCAGAGAAACAAACCCTCCATTATAAGTAGAACATTTCTTACCATGATCACCCTTCTCATTTCATGCACTTCATTGATTTTTCTATTCTGTTTTAAAATATAAATGTCTCCTCTGATATTACCTTCTTAAGGATTTTTCTGTTGACTGTCTTCATTATTTCCTATTAAGTTTAGTGCATGTTACATTTCATGGTTTTTCTCTGCAGATGACCCTCATGTGCAGTATTCTGCAGTGAGCAGCTTTGTGTTTCTTCGTTTCTTTGCTGTAGCCGTAGTCTCACCTCATACTTTTCATTTACGACCTCACCATCCAGTAAGTTTCATGAAGCTTTGTTCTGTTTTATTCATAACCGTCAGATCTGTTTATCTGGGAAGGCATAAGTTACTTCCAGTGGGTCTATAATTGGGAAATAAGGTTACTACATGTTTCTAGATTGAGTTTTCAATTTTATACCTCACCAAAGGAACTTGGACATTTGCAGTTCTTTAAGTATCAAATTTCTCGGTCCTTATGAGACGTTCTCAAATTATGTAGAAGAGCTATTGGTATTAAAGATGCTGTGCCTTTTTTGGGAATGTGCTGCTTTTTTTGAATAGCAACATGACTGAGGGTTCCTTAAGGTATATGCCTAAACTGCATTGGTTCCTTCCACTCCGGAAGTCAAAATAGCCAAATGTCACTTCCACTTTAAAAAAAGTATTTCCATCTGTATCTTAAACAGAGGTTGTAGAATTATCCAATAACTCTTCTTTGTATTTATTCTGGACTCTAGTAGTTGCAGTGAGTTGCCAAATCTTACATTTTCAGTTTTCAAACTGTCAAGTAGATATGCATTAAAAAAATATTCAAAGACAGGAATATGGAGATAAGACTGCATTATTTTCACATAAAATATAGAATGCTTATGAAATCTTCTACTCCAGAGGTTATCTTTATTAGTTCATTTTATCTACTTTTGTGTTGTGCTTTCAAAAGAAAAAAACCTGCTTACTCAATTTCATTCCTTTGACATTATCCAGTTTGTAAGTAAAAAGATTACAAGATTTTATCGCTTGAGAGTTAAACATTTTAAAGGGAACAGCAAGGCCCCTTTCTGTGGCTGTGTTTATAATCCTGTACTAAAAAGCCAGCTGTGAGGTAGCAAACAAATTAGGTAAAAGCCTTAAAGACTAAATTTTAAATGCAGTTTGTCTTATAAAAATTTCTACCATTTGTTCAGTAGTAGTTCATTACGTTTAAAGTTTTGAATAGTTCAGAAGTGTTAGATGTGTAGTAACAATTACAGGATTTGAGGAGTTTGAGTTGTTTTGTAGGCAAAAATATTTTTCCAAGTACTAATATTAAATTCTAGTGGTAGTGGGTAAAATATTGAACACTGTGCAGTAGCTTATAAAATACGTTCACAAAGCACAAGTACTAATAGACGACAATACTGCATATGCATTTCTTCTCTTTGAGTGAAGAAGAAAAGTAATGAAGATGTGCCAGACTTACTATGTTGTGTAATATAATAATTTTCGTGACATTGTCATTTTTAAATCAAAGTTTTAACTGGAATTGTGAAAAACTGACTTCTGAATTTTGTTTCTTTATCTTAGGATGCACAGACTTCTAGAACATTAACTCTTATATCAAAAGCCATCCAGACTTTGGGGAGTTGGGGAAGTTTGACCAAAAGCAAACTTGTAAGGCTACTAAAATTCTTTCTCATTTCATAGACAACATTATTTGAAAGTTATTTATATCAATATACCTTTTCTTTCAGTCAAGTTTCAAGGAGACGTTTATGTGTGAGTTTTTCAAAACATTTCAAGAGGAAAAATTTACTGAATCTGTTAAAAAGGTACCTTTCAACTAATTTTTTTTAATGGTTGATGTTTGATCAGTCTTAATTATTAGAAGGTTGTGTTATTTTCAGTTTTCTAGTAGAGAGAAAAAGCAAAATTGTTGTCCATTTCAGAAGTTTAAAAAAACAAACAGAAAACCCCACCCAAATTCACACAATTAAATACACAAGAGTTATTACATAGCAGAATAAACTAGTTAAGAAAGGAAAAAAAAAGTATAGATTTTTTTTTTTGAAACAGACTTCATTAGATCTCCTGTTTAGGAACTAATTAAAGGAATCTTGTATGGCTTACGGGCATTCCTTGTTGCATTGTTCCAAGTCCCTGCAATATATTTTCAGTTCAGCTGTTGCATAAAGTAATTGTTCTGTTCCAGGAGAAACTGTATGTGTATATTTTCAGAATAGCTTTTGGTTGTTCTGTGCTTCTGAATAGTATATATTCCCGGTGTCTTTTTCCTTAAGTTCCTAGATGATGTTTCTTCTACTGAAAGTAAAGAGCCTAGTGGTCTGAGTGAGCCAGTACATCTAAAAGAAGGGTAAATACATCTTGAATCTATATCATGCAAAACAGAATTGACTTTACTGTTTTTTCATTAATGCTAATGTCAGATTAATGCCCATTAAAATGTTTGATATATGGTAGAAATTATGATACTTGTAGTTTGTGATAATTGTCTGTTAGTTTGCAGAATTAGTTTAAACCAACAGCTGTAAACTTTCATAACTCATCTCTTAAATACTTTGGGAAAAAAAGTAATTAAAAGCAGCTTAAAAACTATTAAAGGCTGTCTGTATTTCTGTTACAATTCAGTGTGTACTCTGTGGTGCCTTAGTCAGGATTATGAAAGTGTATTTTAAAAGAACATATTAAGTTAATTTAGAATTACTTTGCATGCTGTTTAAACCCAGACAGCTAAATGTTCTGCCTTGAAAGTAGGAGAAAAAATTACCCTGTAATTGGAATACTTAACAGGAAATGATAGAATGCTCTATAAAAATTGAGGTGAAAATCACTCTTTCTAATAAATGAACTGTTGGTTTTTTTTAATGTTGATCAAGAATAACTGATTAATGAATTCAAACAACATTTGTGGGGAAAAAAAAGGTTGTATTTATCTGAGCAGCAGATTCATAGCAATTAAAGATTCTTCTGTGAAACATGCATCCAAATTTCAAACAAGGAAGAAATGTACATCTTATTAAAATACTAAATAGAAATGAAGGAGACCATTGTAGTGGATCAACACTTAGTTATAGCAATTTGGTAGCTAATCCGTATTATAAATTGATGGCTGTTGCTCAAAAAAAATAGTTGCCAGTGACTACACATGAAGTGTACTGAATACAGTTTGTGCCTACCCTTGCTATTGAGTCAAGTTCATCGTCATGTCATTTGTATTCAGTTTCTGATCCAGATAAGGCCAAGTACATTCACATGTAGAAAGTAGTAGAAAAGAGAGAATCTTTTAGTTGGATACACCTTAGTCCCTTTTTGGGAAAATTTGGAGTTCTGGATCTGAATAAGGACCCACTCCAAATTTACTGCTACAAACAAGAGTCTGGATTGCATATTTTTCAGACTCCTTTCCCGTTTCTGGAACCCTGTACATGAACACCATATTGGGAGGTAATCTTGACGATCTACTTTGAACAACTAGTAGGTTTTTTTTTGAATTCACAATGAAGTAGATTTTTATTGTTGCAGCATGATGAACAATAACGTGTTATCTCAATAAATGGTTTTGAAAGCTCTTCAGAAGACTAATGGTTGCATTTTGGTTGATTCTGTCATTTGAATATCTGCAGAGAAATGTACAAAAGAGCTCAGGGTAGGACTCGGATTGGTAAAAAGAATTTCAAGAAGCGATGGTTCTGTCTAACAAGTAGAGAATTCACCTACCACAAACAGCAAGGTAAATTATGTTTATTTTACAATTATTTTTGTTTTCTCAATATTTTCTAAGTGTCTGCATCTGATTTTTGCATTTTAAAACGCATTTTTTTCTTTTCCTGAAGTACATATAATAAGTTTTAGTTACCTTTGCCCTGACTGCCAAATGCTTCTGTATAATTCATGCACATTTTCTCAGTAGTAAAAATGCACATTTTGAGGACTTAACCTATAGTAGCAGTGCACTGAGGCTATAAAACAGTTTTTAAAAAATTGCTTCACTCATCTGTTTACCATTTTTTTTATAGACAAAGAACCAATTTTTACTATTCCAATCAAAAACATCCTTGCAGTGGAGAAACTTGATGAGAGCTCCTTCAACAAGAAAAATGTGAGTCAGAAGATGGTTTATATATAATTCTTGGTGTATTCTTTAAATAAAAGATTATAATTAGCTCACAGAGTTACTGAAACCCTATTACCGAATACTTCAGCAAAAAATCTTTTTTGGATCAGGAATAAAAAGTTGTATGCAGTATTTCCAGGTACTCTGAACATGGAACTTAACCTGCAGATTTGGATCTCTGCACCAACTTCTCTGCTTGATTTTTTGACTTCTGCCCCCCTTACCAAATTTCTGCAATGAAGGTTAAAACTACCATGACCAAGCACTTCTATGTAAAGTATTCATAGAATCATAGAGTGGTTTGGTTGGAAGGGACCTTAAAGATCATCCAGTTCCAACCCCCTTGCCATGGGCAGGGACACCTTGCACTAGACCAGGTTGCTCAAAGCAGCTGTGTGTAATAGTATGCATTATATTGTGTTCTACTAGACATCTAATATTGAGGCAGTTGTCTATGCTCACAGCCTCATTCTGGACCTGTAACGTGTCGGTATTTCTGTTGTTTTTTTCAATCCAGAATTCTGAGGCAGTGATAAAAGTACAGCTGTTACTTAGGCTGAGGATGACTAAAGGAGAGACTTACGGGAATCTTCTGTTACTCTCAGGATATGAAGCATGAAGTTTGAGGTCACATTTAAAGATATGTGAAAGAAGAGGACAGAAAATGCATCATGTTCTAATTCTTTAAAGGTTCTTTTTTGGATGAGAAAATGATGTAGGCAGAATGCAGGGAGCTGTTCTGTTTTGGTTTTTTTTCCCTCCTAAATAATGTTGCCTGGTAAACTGAAAGATGTCAGAAGTCTTCATTTCTCTCATGTCTCACTTTCTGTCTTTATTTGGCTTTGTTGAATTACCTGAGCTTGAAATCTATTTTGACATATTCAAAGTTGCTCAATAGCTGGATTTTTTTACTGAACAGAGTAATGTTGCATTCCTCCTACAGATGTTTCAAGTACTACATGGAGAAAAGCCACTCTATATACAAGCAAATAACTGTGTAGAAGCTAGTGAGTGGATAGAAGCTCTTTGCCGGGTAACAAGGTGCAACCAGAAGAGGCTTAGTTTTTACCATCCTTCCGCTTTTCTGAATGGGAACTGGCTTTGCTGCAAGGCTACAACAGAGAACACAGTGGGCTGTGCTCGTTGCACTGCGTAAGTTGCTTCTCAAATTAAAATACATATGTTTTGTAGGACCAATAATGTACGATTCACTCTACAACTTGAAAATCTGAAGGCAAGGCCTTCCCTGTCTTCTTTAGCAAGGTGGGCTACTAAGAATGTGCCTTATTAATAAGGCCTGAAGTACTGGATTTTATTAAGTCTGCTACTTTGTTAGCCACTGTATGAAACGAAGATAACCAATTCAGCATGTAAATCAGAGGTGCAGAATGGTTGATTTCTTTCCACGCAGAATAATAGATTTAATAGCTCAAGCTTATTCAGATTCCAAGCTGAATGCAGAAATATGACACACCTAGGTCATCTGTATGAAATAATTGAAATACCTTGCTGCAGAGGGCTGAAACTGAAAGTCTTATCTCTTTCCCTTGACATTTTCTTATTTTATGCAGTCACTCTTTTATTTTAGCCCCACGTATTTTAAAACACAGTGTACTAAGAAAATCAGCTAAATAATTTGGATATAGAGTCTGACAAATGATTCTGGTTTTGTAGGTATGACAGGAAATTAATACCGTCTTATAATGCACTAATACCTTCTTTAAGCTGCTGATTTCTGAAAACAAACAAATGCTCTGATATTTTTTTTAAAAAAATTTATCCTTAACTGGATAGGTTGCATAAATTACAGACTAAAGATCTGAGTCAGTCTTCTAAAATTCAGTATAAATCCTACAAGATAACTTTCTGAAAACATACTTTTTCCATGTTACTCAATTCATGCTTATATTAGGTTTCTCAACAGTTCAAAAGATTCCTATTACCAAACAACTTATGGTTGATTTTGTATTTTTTTTTTTTAACTGTTTTGGTTTAGGAATGTGTCTTGTCCTGTTCTGGTTACCTTTCAAATATAGTAGATTTTAAAAGCAGTGTTTAATTGTCATTTAATAACAATTAACCTCAATTGATATTTTTTACTATTTTTCTCTTGATATATTGAATAATAAATCCTGTTGGAAAAAGCAATTTTTAGTATTGCTGTATTCCTTGCCACAAGACTGTCTATGTCTGTTTCTATAGAACACTTGCAATGAATGCTGTTTTGTGTAGCAATTGTGAAGCTAGCAGTGAGTGATAGCCTTACTAAAAGGCTAAGTATATTGAAACAGAATCAGTTTCTACTTGTGTTCAAACCTTTCAAGAATGACCTATATTGATTACCCATCTCTTGATACTCAAATTGAGATTGATGGAGACAGAGAGACAGAAAGAATTTACTCACTTTTCACTGTTAACATGTCTAAACTACAGAAGTTGGAAGGTACTTAAATAATAGTTCAGAAGAATTATGCTGATACTACTCAGCTCTAATTCTTTAAGCCCATAACATCAATTTGATGTCTTAACAATTTACCTGAAAATAATAGAGAGTAGATATGCAGATTATATTCTTAGTGCTCTGGTATCAGACATTCTTCGGTCATTTCTTTACAGTAGACATCAGGCATGTGTGTTGTTCTAATTGCATTTGCATATATGAAATACCTTTAATAGTCTAAACAGAGAGGCTGCAACTATAGCCAGTCGCTCTTCTGTCTTTGCTCTCCTTTTCCTGACTATGGAGTGAATTCTATTGAACATGGTTGAGTTGCAAGAAAGCGGTGGTCTTCTGTTAACGTGAACAGGAGAGAGCTGGATGCTCAGGATGCTGAACGCAACCAGCAGAGAATAAGCCAGAGAACTGTAAATACATCTAGTTGATGCTGTCTTCTGCTTTTGTCTTAAACCATTTTATGTGTAAGCTGGAGTAACTTTACATTTCAGAATCGCCATTTATGTAAGAGTTAGATCCATTTGTTATTTATTTAAATTCTAATCAGGATAATTGTGGTAATTTTTGTAGAGGCTTGTGGAAGTATAGCAGTCTATCAAGGTCCACGGAAAGAACCAGATGATTACTCTAACTTCACAATTGAAGATTCTGTAGCAACTTTTCATACACTTAAACAGATAATAGATACAGTAGAAAAGCTGAATGAATCGCATGAAAAATACCGAAAGAAGAGATCGTCTAGTGCTAAATATGGTAGTGAGTAAGTATCTCACGTAATTTTGACATACATAAATGTGTATTCTTTAAAAAAAATAAATCACAGAACAAGGCCAGGCTTATAGACATAATTAAGCTAAAGGTAGATTTAGACAACACAAAGACATGGAGAAAATAAAGTACGTCATTTTTAGTAATGCAGCTTTTTACCACTTGTTGAAAGGTACAAGAAGTTCCTCTTGCGTGGGATTCCTCTGTGTTCCTGTTGAGATTCCCATAAGCGGGTGTAATGACTGTCGTTTCCTTGCAACTTAACATCTCAAGTACACACTGAATTTATCCCTGTCTGCCTACTTCCTTTTTTTTGTTTTCAGAATTTCAAATTGCAGTGAAGAAATAATTAAAACACCAAGTTATATAAAACTGTAAAAATTACACTGCAGAAACATATCTTTCATGCAGTATATTTACTGTTTGTAATTCACTTACCATACTCAATGATAAATACTATTTCTGATGAAGCTAAAAAAAAAAAAAATTTCTGTTCTTTGGAGTACATTGTTCCAGAGCAGATTCTTTGCATTCTCTTCAATCCTGACTGATACCTATGGAACACCACTAGCAAATTTTGTGATTTCTTCTTTGTATCAGTAAAGCTTGATTCACCAGAAAAAAAGATTGCTCAAACCCTAATTTGGTTTGCCTAGTTCAGTATTTGACCCAAGCTGTTTATGAAAATTGACTTTGATTTAGAGCTCTCACATGAAAGTACGTGAGGTTTTCTGCAAATCATGAAATTTCGCAAGTGATAGAAATTACGAAAAAAACCATAGGTTTGCTTAATAAATTAATTGTATGATGAGAACTAGAAAGCAGATGTTAAAAATATTTACATATAATTTTTTTTTTTTCCAGAGAAAATCCAATTGTTGGAAAAGTTTCCTAACCAAACAAACTGTGGCACACTTGGATGAAAAAAGAAACTGGAAATGTTCTTGAGTGTTTTGTTTATTTTGCTTTGTTTCTGTTTTTTAAAATTCATTATGTGCATTTTTAAAAAGTATTTAAGAATGAACATAAATGCTAGTTGTGTTGACAATCTATTTAATATTTAATAGAAAAATATCTACTTGGAAATGTGGTCTTAAGATTTATTCTCATTTTGCTGAAGAACTTGGAACTTCCAAGTTCTTGAAGTAACAAGTGTGAATAAATCTAAATGTTGTTTTGCCATTGTTGTCTTATTGGAAAGAACTTTCTAAACGAATAAGCTTTTTAATGGAAGAAAATCCATGCGGCATTTGTTGGTTGGATTACATCTCTCAGTACACACAGTGAAAACTTGAATGAGTTTACCATGAGTGCCTGCCATGCTGATGTGGATCTTGAAACAGAAATCCCAAGATACTATGACGTGGAAAAGATCTGAAGCTTCACACTCTATTCATTTGACTTTTTTTCTTGTATTAGGTGTTGTCAGGACTTGATTTATCTACAACTGAAGTCTTATAAAATCATGCAGTATGCTGCAAATAATGTGGACAGCAGATACCAGTGTTAGTTATCTTTTTAAGTACTAAAGAAGAGGAAATCAGGGAATTTGTTGTACGTCTTGTTTACATTTGGGGTGAGTAATATATGGAGTCACATTAGACCACTATCTATTTTCTTTAGGATTTTTAAGGTATATATTTTTTTTCTTAATCTAAAAAGAAATGTAGGGTAGCAACATTCTTTTTAAAGTAAGTTTGCCTACAGATGGAAAAATTTAAATGTGAACAGATTGTGGTTAAGTACTGATCAATTTACATCATCCCATGTATGATTTTATTTCTTTTTTTTAATAATAACTAGGTCCAGCTCACCTTTTGACTACAAATCTAATAAATAATCTCTATTATAATCACTCAAAGCACTTTAGATATCTGGACTATCCCAGATTATTTTTAGATACTTTGTAGTATCTGCTTGTTATGATCAGTTGAATGATCAACATTGTTTTGTCTTTAAGCAATGCTTCAGTGAATATTTTTGTATCTTTAGTTATATGGATTCATATTTGCCACTTAACACGATTTTAAACTGGCATTCTTGACTTTAGTAAGATTAATTTTTGCTCACTTCATCCGAGAAGTTAGGTTGATGCTGAAAGAATATATATGTATATAACCAGGAAGAAGCAAAGGTATTACTGTGGCAACTTTGCTTCATCAGTATTAAATACAATGGTACTCCTTGGAATATTATTTTTAATAATGACTATATGTGGTACTTTTATTTTTGGAGCATTTGCTGTGGGGTCTTTTGTTGTTTTTGTTGGGTGGTTTTTGGGTTTTGGTGTTTTGGTTTGTTTGGTTGGTTTTTTTAATACAATCATGATTTGGCCAAACTAATTAGGAATGTAACTTACAAACAGAATAGAAATCCACAGTGCTTGAAACTGTAAGATGTTTAAATTACTATCCATTTATTATATCGTTGTGGGGAAGCTTTCTGTAACAGAAGCAAGTTGGCAAGACAGGATTGAAATTTCTTTTGGAATGAATGTAACTTGTTAGAATAACTATTTGGTTTGATACCAGACAAACTATTTTAGAATATCTGGGATTCAGTACTAGTATCTGCAACATCACAATCATTTAATCACCTCAACTGTTTCTGCCTTTTCCTTTTTTACACATTTGATGTATTCTAAGGGACTCTTATTTGCCAACAATTGAAATGAGGTAGAGGCAGGGCTGGCAGGGAAGGGAATATAGTAATGCCAAGAAATGTGTTATGCCAAAGTAAAGTGGCGTCTGATTAATTGCCATTAATAAAAAGCTGCCATTAAACAAAGTTGAATGTAGTTGAGTGTCAAAGCTAGGTTTTGCTGTATATGGATTAACCATGTGGCAAAGTGTCTGTTCCTTGGAGCCATTTTCTGTTGTTTTCAAAGACAAATTTATGAAAAATTAAATTGTATACTCTTGCAACGTTTTTTCAAATATGCACTTTCTTTGCTTTGGTACTGGAATATCTAGGAAAAAAACAAAGGTCATTGAATATTTCCAACTATTAAGATTTGATTTCTCATTTTACAATGTTTTGAAATGCAGTAGATGTTCTGGAATTTGATTAGGTACAAGTAGGTTGATTAATAATAAAAGTTGCCTTCATTTTGATTAGTCTAGAAAGATGATGTTATTCAGTAATTAGTTCTGTTAGGATTGTAAATTATCGTTAGTTTTAATTTGTATTATCATGATGTATTGTTGAATGTATTTTTATTTAAATTTTATTTTCTTATCAAGACATTAAAATGTTTTGTAACATTGCTTGAGAATAACTCACAAATAAATTACAACAAACTTGATATGCTCTGTGTTTATTGTGGGGCCTGACTTTTTAAAATGTTAGCATTTATCTGAAGATTGAATTAATAGGTGTTTACATACAGGAGATGAGTATAAAGAGAAACCTAGTTGACAGGGGAAAAAAGTTAAGTCGAGGGATCTTGCATGGTCATCTACAGCATTATTACATGTTAACTAAGATTGATAGTTGGAGAGAGAAGTGATAGCTAATAATTCAACGTAACTGTGCTTAGACGCCTTAGTAATTTGACAGTTTTTAAAATGTTTGCAATGTCTAGTCTGATGTATTGAAGGATATCTAGTTCTATGTTATTAGTAATTATTAGTACTAATTTTTTTCTTGCTTACTGATTTGTCTTTCATTACTTGTCCTGGGTACCAGTACCATCTATGTAATTTGTCAGACCTATTTTAAATATATTTTATATGGAGAAAATAGTCCTTACTTTTCTCAGTCTTCATTCTTTTTTTTATGTGTTCTGGGCACTTTTTTTGTCACCTGCTCTCCCCTGCTATACTTACGGGCGTTTTTTATAAGATAATTTTGTACAAGTGTGTTTTAATATCTTGAAGGGTTTTTTTGTTTCCTTGTACAGAGAGCAGACCTGTTGTCCTTTATTGCTGGTGTGGAAGCTCCTGTTAGGAGTTACAGTGCAAACCTTCCAGCCATTTTGGAATTACTTTTGATTAATTCTGAGGTAAGCTATATTAAGGCCCAGTCTGAGTGGTCGCTACAGTCGTTTGCAGAGATCAGAAAGCGGAGGAAGTTAAAGATGAAATTGGAACTACAGGAGGAATTTTTTTCTGTGGACATTAAAAAAAAATAAATTTTGTAAGGATTCTGTGATGATTATAGCAGAGTGGTCTGTTCTTTTCGCTGCTAATATGCTAACCATTCTCTAACCGTTCCCCTAAGCTGTGTTTTCTCTAAACCATGATGTGAAAAGGGCCATGAAAGGTCAATAGCTGCTGTGCTGATCATACTTTCAAGTTCTGGGCTAGGCTAGCAATCATAGATGCATAAGGCTTCTGTAGCTAGGAGGTTCTTCCTGCAACTCTGGTTTCCTTGAAAATCAGTGTGCTAGTTTCTCACACAGTCGTATACATCTTTGTCCCCCATCATATGTGCAGGTAACTATATAGTGAGAAAGCTGGTACTTATAGCCTATATATAGGTGAGCATATATTTATCTTCATATAGTCTGCCTATAGACTATATATGTAGTAAACAGAATGAATAATATATGGAAAATGAAGTGTTTACAAGACATTATCTTTAATTTCTGCTCATTTGTATGTATTTTAAAATACAAAGTTTGCAACATTTACTCACGTGATAAGGACTGATTCAGTATTGTTTTTAAAAGAGCATGCATATGGAATAAAAATTGGGCTAATAAGCAACAGCTCCCAGTAACAAATAAGAGCAACTTCCAATAGAATGGACAAATGCATACAATTTACTTCAGGTTCTAACAAATATTTACGGAAGCATATTTAAATAAGATTTGTGTGATTTATGCAGATTAAATAAACCAGAAATCCTTTAATAGCAGTAAGGAGACTATATCAGCGTTACTGTGTTCAGCTGTGATGAGCCTGCTGTTGGAATACTTTGTCTGTTCCTGAGAATCGGGAATATAGGCAGCTGTTTTTAAAAAAAAAAAAAATAAAAATCAGAGTTTGAGAGTAGAGCTATAAGAACTAGGAATATAGACTGTAATTCAGCTAAATTACTTAGTTTAAACATATAAGTTTAAAAAGTCACTTTATGTACATGAATCAGGGACAAAAATTCGATAATCAGTTGCTCTACAATCAGAATAAGGTTTAAAAAGATCCAGCAGCTGCAGCGTTCAGGAAATGCATATGCTTTGTAAGAATTTTTTTTAAAATAAAAGCAATTAGACAACATTGCTGAATTGCTTTTAAAATATTCTTTACATTAATAAATGTTCATGGAAAATAACAAAATTCATCCATATATAACTGTCACCTAATACAGTGTTGCTTAAAATTGTATGACCAAGCATTTCAACTGTTTGAAGTCATAATTATTTTAGCATATTTACTATTGCAAATGCTGTGGCAGTTTTGTATAAAGTCTAGTTAACAGTTTCACCAAAAAGAGGATATAAATCTTCATTCTCATTTTAGCAACATGAATTATATGGGCTTTTTAAAATCCAATCAGACAATTCAGTTTGCTTTAAGGGGTTGCAATTTTATTCCCCACTTTCATCCTCTATTTCTGGTCGTTCTTCCTACACAGGCAAAAAAGCTGAAAGAATCATAGACCAGCCAAAGTAAATCTACCATATGGCTTGAATTCAAGACTTAAAGGTAAAAATCTCTTACCTGGTCCCTCTGAAATAGTTGTGCAGAGGATTTTGGCTCCATTTTCTCAAAAAATGCAAGATATCCCCTGCTTTACTCCAGGTTGGTGTTTCAGGGACAAACTCCACTGCGTCAGGGAGCAGAGGAAGATGATGATGCTTTGAGGGATGTGTGTGTGTATATATATATATATAT